CAGGGTTAAAAAGATTCTGGCTTCAAATGTGGGGAGCTCCCACAGTCCCCTCAGCCAAGGCCAGAGATGATTTTCTCTTTCTTGGTTATGCCTCTCTGCCAAGACATGGGCACTAGGATAGAAGTTGGGAGATCCCAGCCTAGTCCAGGTTAATGATTGGTTTGACAGCCTGCCAGTCAAGATCCATGTGCTGATCCCAGCTTTAGTTACCAAGCTTCTACCTACCATCTGCCTATTTTCATTTCATACAATGGTGTCATTTCTGGGCTCTGCTACCTCTGAGATCTGACTCTTTTTTAAAAAAAGATTTATTTATTTATTTGAAAGTCAGAGTTACACAGAGATAGAAGGAGAGGCAGAGAGAGAAGAGGTCTTCCATACACTGGTTCACTTCAATGTTGGTGGCTGCAATAGCCAGAGCTGCACTGCTTAGAACCCAGGAGCCAGGAGATTCCTCCAGGTCTTCCCATGAGGGTGCAGGGGCCCAAGGGCTTGTGCCATCTGCTTTCCCAGTCCACAGCAGAGTTCTTGATCAGAAGTGGAGCAGCTGGGAATTGAGCCAGTGCCCATATGGGATGCTGGCACTGCTGGGGGTGGCTTTACCCTCTACACCACAATGCCAGCCCTGAGATCTGATCTTAACCTGGTGGTTCCTGCCTGATGGTCATGGCATGCACAAGTGATGTAGGTGATTGTATTCTGCATCCACAACTTTTGTCACATTGTTTTTAATTATCTATGTCCTTGTCATTTGTCCACCAGGACTGAAATCACCTTTAGGGTAATCATGATATTCACATTATTCATATTGCATCAATCATACCCAGGAGAGTACCAGGCATAATGCAGACCAGTCACCCCTGTCTCCCTTCCTCCTCTGCTCCTCATTCCCACAGTGCTAGGGGCTCTTGCTCTTCTCCTCCTCCACCCCTCCCTCTGCACAGCTACCACCACCATGAGACCTACACACCATGCTCCTCTACTCCCTCTGACCCCATACACTCTCCAGTTCCAGTGGATCCAAACAGGATGATATATCAAGTGTGGAGGTTTAGTTGTACTCATGAAGCAAAGCTACAGAGCTCCACTATCACTAAGTGAATTGTGGATGTTGGACTTGAAAGCTCTAATTGTTGTGCTCAGTTCTATGGTCCTATGACAACTGAGAACATGGCATGAATTAAGGAGATGCCTGCCTGCATATCCCATTCAGTTAGGAGCCACAGAGCTCTGCAGCATTGTTGTTGGAGCCCTTTCCATTTATTCACTGCTCAAACCTATTGCTTTCTTTTCTGCTTTGTGTCCATCCACTCATATCAGAGTAGCCAGGACAGAGTGAGTTTTTTATGAGTCATGATGGTGAGCCAGTGGCTAGACACCTTACTTGGACTTTATAATGTGCATTTTGGCTATTCCAGGAAATTGTTTTTTTTAAAGATTTACTTATTTATTTGAAATAGTTACGCAGAGAGAGAAGGAGAGGAAGAAAGAGAGGGAAAGGTCCTCCATCCGTTGGTTCATTCCCAATTTGCTGCAATGGCCGGAGCTGTGTCAATCTGAAGCCAGGAGCCAGGAGCCTCTTCCAGGTCTCTCACATGGGTGCAGGAGCCCAAGGCCTTGGGCCATCTTCTACTGCTTTCCCAGGCCATAGCAGAGAGCTGGATCAGAAGTGGAGCAGCCAGGACTTGAACCGATGCCCATATGGGATGCCACACTGCAGGTGGCAGCTTTACCCACTATGCCATAGTGCTGTCCCTCCCCAAGGAATTTTTTTAACTTCTTTCCTGCTTAATTCTGCTTTATTTACCTAAGGTTGATGAATCTATAAATCGTGAATTAGCGAGGTATTCCACATTTAGCTTTGAAATATATGATTTTGTGGGGTTTTTAACTTAACTTTTTTTTACAAATATTTTTTTTTGACAGGCAGAGTAGACAGTGAGAGAGACAGAGAGAAAGGTCTTCCTTTTGCCATTGGTTCACCCTCCAATGGCCGCCGTGGCCAGTGCACCGTGCTGATCCGGTGGCAGGAGCCAGGTGCTTCTCCTGGTCTCCCATGGGGTGCAGGGCCCAAGCACTTGGGCCATCCTCCACTGCACTCCCGGTCTGGCCTGGAAGAGGGGCAACTGGGACAGAATCTGGCACCCCAACCAGGACTAGAACCTGGTGTGCCAGCGCCACAAGGTGAAGGATTAGCCTACTGAGCCACGGTGCCGGCCTTTTTATAAATATTGACCATTACTACTCTTTTTAAAAAATATTTATTTACTTATTTATTTGAAAATCAGAGTTACACAGAGAGAGGGGAGGCAGAGAGAGAGAAAGAGAGAGGTCTTCTATCTGATGTTTCACTCTCCAATTGGCCACAGTGGCTAGAAGTGTGCTGATTCAAAACCAGCAGCCAGGAGCTTCCTCCAGGTCTCCCATGTGGGTTCAGGGGACCAAGTATCCTCTACTGCTTTCCCAGGCCATAGCAGAGAGCTGGATTGAAAGTGGAGCAGCCAGGTCTTGAACAGGGGCCCATATGGGATGCTGGCACTTCAGGCCTGGGTGTTAACCTGCTGCGCCACAGCGCCAGCCTCTGAATTTTACTTTTTTATTTAGACCATTCTTATAGAAGTGGATTATGTCTTCTAGTTTCTAAGTAACTGTATCATAATGAGGACCATTGTAGATTGTAGCAGTTAAAAGTATTTGGCTTGATGATCAACATAAGGCTTATAGATAGTAGCTACCCATGAGATTGTGTCTTGGATTTAGGGGAAGTTTATAAGTCAGTTGGAGGTAGCCTTTTATTACTGATGAACATGAATGTACTGAGAACTCCTTGTCCATTAAATAATAAAATCCAAATGAAGATTTACACATGAGTTCCCTCCTGCCTTCATCTACCATTGAAATCCTGATGTTTCTGCCTTTTGGATCTCCCTGTAATCTGTTGCCTCTTCTTCATTCCCACTACCACCATACCTTGGTTCAGGTCCTACTAAATTACCTTTGATATACTTTTTAATTGACCTCTCTGCTTTTTGTTTTTCTTACCTTTGTGTAAAGCCTCTTAGTTCATCCAAATATTTTTCTGATTGCTCAGGTTCTCCTACTTCAATAACTAGGAAAATCATGTGGCTGGTAGTTCTTTCAACACACCACACAAAAGAATGCTCAGTAAATGCTTACTAAATAATGAGTGGAATGCCTTACAAAGCTAGGGTGAACGTTTAACCTGCTTGGCCCTGGATGGTTTCTGTTTATACATTTCAACCCTGTGTCATTATTAATATGTCTCTTTTATTATCAAAGTTGTCTCTGAGCAACAAATTATACATTCATCTAATTGTGTGTGTTATCAAATAGATATCTATTTCATTGTCTCTTCAACTAGGTAGTTATTGGGGATCAGAAATTATATTTGTTTAATTTTTGTAGCCTCATTTATTCATTCAACTAAAAGAATGACTCTATCAAGATGCTGAGTTTTAATCTCAAAGGAAACATGTTTCTTGCCCTCCTGAATTTTCAATCTGGCAAGAAAAAGCAATCTACACAAAGAATATTGCCTGACATAATAAACATTAGTGTGAAATGAATGGATACATTTAAGCATTCCTAATCCAGCAATTCTAATCCCATGAATTATAATTGACAGAAGTAATCACAAACAGAACTCCATGTCATCCTGCTTCCATTTACATTTCTACTTAAAATCTTAAAAATCAAACACCACACATATACCTAAGAATGCATAATATTTATATGCTATCTTGATATTAAGCATGAGAAAAATAACCATACAGCAATAGTAACTTTGAACCTCCTTTCTTTTTTAGATAAATTATAATCCTATGTGTTTCTCTACAGTGAAGATTAGGATTGTAGATACTCTTCCTCTCCCTCACTTTTTATTTTAGAGATGAGAAATCTGGGGTTTTAGAAACTGAGCCCTAAGATAAAAGAAATATTTCTTTTTTTTAAAGAAGATTTTTTTTTTATTTGAAAAGCAGAGTTACAGAGAGGCATGGAGAGAGAGAGAGAGAGAGAGAGAGAAAGTTTTCCATCCACTTGTTCACTCCCCAAATGGCTGCAATAGCCATAGTGAAGCTGATCCAAAGCCAGGAGCCAGGAAATTCTGGGTCTCTGATGTGGATGCAGGGTCCCAGGCATTTGGGCCATCTTCTACTGCTTTCCCAGGCTATAGCAGAAAGCTGGATTGGAAGTGGAGCAGCAGGGACTTGAACTAGCCCCCCGTATAGAATGTCGGTGCTGAAGGTGGAGGCTTAGCCCACTATGCCACAGTGCTGGTCCCGAAAGACTTCTTAAACCAATATTTCACGTTGGTTGGCCTTTAACCTAGACTTTTTTTTACCATACTTCCATGGGCAAATTCAATTCTAATCTCTTTCCACCTCAGCTTTCTCTTTGTAAATTGAAAATACGGTCTCCAGAATTAACCTAAGGTATAATTGATACAAAGTAAGGCATTTACTCTGTTAATCTGGCCCCCAGAAGATACTTGGCAATGTTAGTCCTGTATCCAGTTCTCTTTTTTTCTGTGTGTGTGTGTGTGTGTGTGTTTGTACTTGGTGAATTAGAGGGTGGTGTAAAATGCTTTGAAAAGAACCACAAATAAAAGACACAAATAAAAATTGTATTCTCAAATCTAGATGTTAAACTATGCCGTGTACACCTGTGCTGAGAGTTACATTTAAATCCTTATCATGCATTACTTGAGAGAAGCTGTCCAGGAATAAAGTAGCAGGGGGATTTTCCTGAGGGAAACAGCGTGTGTGAGGGAACCAGGATTTGGGACTCAGCAGCAGTGGCTGTCACTTCTTAAGATTTTGTTCAAGAAAGGAAGAACAGCACCTGACCCTCGAGATCTGGGGTGGGAAGGAAGGGAAGGAGGGATGTAAACAAAAGCAAACGCTCTCTGGTTCCCAGCCTGTCTCCACCCACCCCGCACTGAAGCCCTAGGAGAGGGTCAGTAAGTCTATCTAGGAATGCCCTGGCCTGGACTTCATTTCCCAGAGTCACCCTGTGCTCTAACATTTCCTGCTCTGACCGCCTGTGCGTGTGCATGTGGGAGAACGTGCGCATGCGTGCCTTTCCCTGTGGCTTGGGGCTGGGAAAAGAAGTTCATTTACTGATCAGAGAGGGCCCTGAGAGGCCGTGCTGCTCCTTCTCCCACATTCCCTGGGGAGTCTTGCTCTGCAAGTGCAATTGCAGGCGGTTCGGGAGCACACACCCCAGACCTGCTACCCACTGCTTCTGTGCCTCTGCATCTGCCACCGTGGGCCCCAAGTTTCAGCGACTTCTCCTGTCCCACACTCTCCGCTTTGCTCTCCAGGTGTCCTGAAGAAAGGGGACGTGCTCCTGAGAGTTTCCACGGCAAGTATGGAGAACAGGAGGGGCATCTATGCATGTGTGGGAGAGGGGTGGGTGCAATGGCAGGTGGTGGCTCCCAGACCTCGATCACTTGGTTCTCAGTGATCCTTGGAGCTTCTCTGGCAGAGTCAAGGCTGGGGCCCAGGTGTTGTGTCTCCCACCACCACTTCCCAGTTTCCCAGTGCACGGCCAGTCCCACAGGCTGCCTCGCTCAAATTCTCCTTAAAGTACACTGGAAGAGGAATGGCCCAAGCAGGGCAGTTGAGAGCACTGTGAAGGAAGGAGTCCCATTCCCTAGATTTAAATAAGCCCAGTTCTCACTTTGGGTGGGTCAGAGAATGCCTTGTGGCTGGCCTCTGGCTATATCCCCTGGTAGTTCCAGCTGGGCGGGGCTCGGCGGCCCTCGGCGGCCCTCAGCTGGAGCCCAAGGCAGTGGAGAGGTGGAGATGGAAGATCAGAGTAGGATCTGGCTCCTGGCCCCCATGCTGGACCCCGCAGACACATTTTCAGCTGGTGCGCTATATGTTTGGCTGACTTTCCCAGCAGCACGTGAAGCTTGTGCAGTAGCTTTGTGGATTGATCTCTCCTCCGTGTTTAATTAACAGACTTTTTCAATCTGGAGCTTGAGGCCATGGAAACATAGCTGATTTATTTTCCTGCATTTCAATTTCTGTCTTCAACCCTTCTTTCTTCTCATGTTATTAGGGATGTCAACTTTTATTACCTGCTGCTAATCCCTTTGCAAAGTGAGAAGTGAACTGAAATTAATGCAAGTCTACCGTGTGAGTTAATAATGAGCTACTTCAATCTGGATTTTCATAGTGGAGAGCTACAAGAACATAAATACAGAAAAGTATCAATTTTTCTTGTTTAGTTCTTTACAGTCACTCAATGCTCCACCAAGCTGATTATCTTACAGTCCATACAGTTTTAATTAAGGGAGTTGACAGGCAGAGTTAGAGAGGAAGGTCTTCCTTCTGGTGGTTCATCCCCCAAATGGCCACTATGGTTGGCGCGCTGTGCTGATCCGAAGCCAGGAGCCAGGTGCTTCCTCCTGGCTCCCACGTAGGTGCAGGGACCCAAGCACTTGGGCCACAGCAGAGAACTGGACTGGAAGAGGAGCAAATGGGACAGAATCTGGTGTGCATATGGATGCCAGCACTGCAGGCAGAGGATTAACCAAGTGAGCCATGGCGCTGGTCAGTTACTTTTTTTTAAAAAAAATTTATTTATTTATTTGAACGGCAGAGTTACAGAGAGGCAAAGACACACACACACACACACACACAGAGAGAGCTCTCATCTGCTGGTTTACTCCCCAGATGGTCACAATGGCCAGAACTGCATGGATCTGAAGCCAAAAGCCAGGACCTTCTTCCAGGTCTCCCACACAAGTACAGGGGACCAAGCACTTGGGCCATCTTCCACTGCTTTCCCAGGCCATAGCAGAGAGCTGGATCAGAAGTGGAGCAGCCAGGTCTTGAACCAGCACCCGTATGCTTTTACCCACTCAGCCACAACACCAACTTCAAGTTACTTTTCTTATGCTGGGTTCTGTGTTTAACCCCATGACATTTGCAACATGGGAGGATATTAGTGATAGATTTTCAAAATGACTGGTCTGTGGAAGCCTTTGTACAAGGTGTTAATGTGAGGAGGGTAAGGAAGAAAAGAGAAAATGTGCCCCTCTCCCCCCACAGAGATGCCCACACAGTATGGTAAAAGATGTGGCTTTGGGCTGGCACTGTGGCTCAGTAGGTTAATCCTCTGCCTGTGGTGCCAGCATCCCATTTGGGCACCAGTTTGAGTCCCAGCTGCTCCTCTGATCCAGCTCTCTGCTATGGCCTGGGAAGGCAGTAGAAGATGACCCAAGTGTTTGGGCCTCTGCACCCATGTGGGAGACCCAGAAGAAGCTCCTGGCTCCTGGCTTTAGAACAGAGGAGCTCTTCTGGACATTTTGACCAACTGGGGAGTGAACCAGCAGAAGGAAGACCTTTGTGTCTGTCTGTCTATCTCACTATCTGTAATTCTACCTCTCAAATAAATAAATAAAACATCTTTTAAAAAAAGAGAAATGTGGCCCTGAAAACTATTGCTATAGACTTTCAGTATAATGAAGTTTTCACTTGATTAACTGAGTGATTCATAGATTGTGTTAGAGTCCTGTTGTCACCAGATTACTAATCTGTGAAACTCATTTAGCATAGTAAGGTTATCTAGGAAGTAAGAATAGAAAGGGAATCCTGGATAGAGGTTGTTAGGGTAACATCTTCCTCTGAAACCCAGTGTGTTTTTGAGCTTTTCTCGCATGTACTCCCTATCACAGTGCTTGCGAGTGGACAAGCAGTTATGTGTTTCTGCTGAAAAGAGCTGCTTCACACCCAGGAAACAACTGTAAGACACTTTCTCAGCAACTATGTTGTGCGTACATTAATACGAACTTGAAAACAGCCAAGAACAGATTCCTGTACTACTCAGGCTAACTCACTGTCCTTGGCACATCATTCCCTGCTCTGCAATAAGTTTCTGGCAAGTTCTTTAAAATTTTTAGGAGAGACATATTTCACATGAGAGACATAATCTGGTAATGCAGCAGTGATGTCTTTAAGAAAAAGTGCCATGTGAGGAAGCAGTCTGATGTGTCCATTCATCTTCCCATTAATAACTCTCATTGATGTCTACCACAGGGTGACAGAAGCAATCCTCCTTCTGAATTGCATCAAGCCAGGAGGATTCCTCTACAGTTTATCTGAGCTTTCCTTGTATGAGGGAATCACCAAATACTACATTGTATAGGGTTTTTTTAATGCATTTTATTTACTTGAAAGGCAGATTTACAAAGAGACAGAGAGAGGTCTTCCATCCATTGGTTCACTCCTCAAATGGCCACAATGACTTGGGCTGGGCCAGGTGAACCCAGGAGCTAGGCGCTTCTTCTGGTTCTCACACTTGATTTCAGGGGCCCAAACACTTGGGCCATCATCCTCTGCTTTCTCAGGTGAATTAGTAGGGAGCTATATTGGAAATGGAGCAGCCAGGACTTGAACCAGTGCCCATGTGGGGTGCTGGCACTGCCAGGGTCTGCTTAACCTACTACACCAGTCCCATGTGCATTTTTCAAAGAGGGGGAGGGGTTAAATTTTTTCTAATATGACTCTCAAAATAAAGATTATAATGTGTAGTAGATGATGATTTTGGTTATATTTTGAATTTCATTAAATTTCAATATTTTTTAAGTTAATGAGTACTAGTAGTTATCTTATTTTTTTTAAAGATTTATTTATTTTACTTGAAAGTCAGAGTTACAGAGAGGAGAGGCAGAGAGAGAGAAGTCTTCATCTGCTGGTTCACTCCCCAATTGGCTACAGTGGTCGGAGCTGTGCCGATCCAAAGCCAGGAGCCAGGAGCTTCTTCTGTGTAGTAGTTATCTTATGCTATCCTTGCTTTGGATAAACAAACTCTCCCATCCCTCATTTAAAATGCTTTTTAAAATAGGATTATTTTGAGGGCTGGCACTGTGGCATGGCAGGTGAGGCTGCCACCTACAGTGCTGGCATCCCGTATGGGTGCTTGTTTGAGATCCAGCTTCCTGGCATGGCCTGGGAAAGCAGTGGAAGATGGCCCAAGTTCTTGGGTTCTGCACAGCTTGGGAGACCTGACAGAAGCTTCTGGCTCCTGGCTTCAGATAGATCCAGCTCTGGCCATTGCAGCCATTTGGGGAGTGAATCAGTGCATGAAAGACCTCTCTCTGTGCCTCTGCCTCTCTGTAACTCTGCCTTTTAAATAAATAAATAAATATTTACATGCTACACCACTGTGCTGGCCCCAAGACCTAACAGGTTTTCTGGGTGCTTATCTTGGGGTTCACTTTGAGCACTAAGCACAGTTATTCTGTGTGACTGAATATTTCATGTTCCTTCTTATGGAAAAGTTTTTCTCATGATCTGAATGATTGGCTACATCTGCCCATAGTGGAAACTAAAACTTAATTTGGCATTTGAACACCCAGAGTGCTGAGTCCTGTAATCTTCTGAATTTAATCAAAAAATGTGTTTTGAAACATTTGGTCTGTGGGTAGGCAGGGCAGTTTTCCTGGATCCCTTGAGAATTGATGAGCTGATGGTGTGTTTCTACCCCACATTATATTCTGAAATTTACTTCCTTTTATTTTCCTAAAATTACTATATTTGTAATTTGCTCCCCCTTTCTGAAATGTTTGTGCTTCTGTCCTCCTTATAAGCATGGACATAAGTAGCCCTTTTCCTTCTCTCTCTCTCTCTCTCTCTCTCTCTCTTTTTTCTTTTAAACAGGCAGAGTGGACAGTGAGAAAGAGACAGAGAGAAAGGTCTTCCTTTGCTGTTGCTTCACCCTCCAGTGGCCACCGTGGCTGGCACACCATGCTGATCCAAAGGCAGGAGCCAGGTGCTTCTCCTGGTCTCCCATGCGGTGTAGGGCCCAAGCACCTGGGCCATCCTCCACTGCACTCCCGGGCCATAGCAGAGGGCTGGCCTGGAAGAGGGGCAACCGGGACAGAATCCAGCACCTCGAGCGGGACTAGAACCCAGTGTGCCAGCACTGCAAGGAGAAGGATTAGCCTATTGAGCTGTGGAGCTGTTTCTTTTCCTTCTCTTTATGATGTTAAGGAGCAGTGGGACATTGCAGCTCTCTCCCCTGGCAGCACATCTCCCTCAGTACGTCTCTTTGAATTAGACCCTGGGTTAACTTGGCTGCACAAAAGGCATATATCTAAACCCAGTGTACATAATGAATGAAAGTCATCATAAAATCAATATGCCTTGTAAACCTCTCATCTCTTGTTTTGAAATGTGTTGTGAATGTGTCTTTTATGTCAGTGTCTACAAGCCAGAGACTTCCCACTTAAGGCAGAAGGCTGCTGAGGGACAGCACAACTGTAGCTTTGCTCTGTTACTTTACTGTGGCTACTCTCTCACCCTCTCTATTTTATTAAGATTTAAAAATTTTATTTTAAAGGCAGAGTTACA